ATAAAATATAAAATATAAAATATAAAATATGAAATATAAAATATAAAATATAAAATGTAAAATGTAAAATGTAAAATGTAAAATAGAAAATATGAAATAGGAAAAAAAAGTTAAAATAACATGTTAAAAATATATAAATAGTAGCAGAAAATATAATGAAAACAAAAATTAAAATAAATATATAATAAATAAATATATTTAAAAAAATCCAAAAAGTAAAATTATATATTTTTACATTTGTATGAAAAAACATTAAAAAAATAAATACTGTGCAAATATACCTTTGGATGATGAACGAGTATTATGCACCTGTCTTCCTTGTTGAATTTGGCCCTATTTTCATTAAATAATTTAGTTGAAGAAATCTAAGAAATCTTAAAGTATTTTTTAAATCGCCTTAGGAGAAGTGCGGCATTAATTACTCGAAGGTCTGAATAGTTTTCCAAGTGCATTTATCACTCTGTTATGTACAGAACTAACTTTGTTATATTATCAATCTTTGAAGTTCGTTTACTTTGAACAAGTTCTCAAGTTGTTGTGGCCGCAGTGCGTATTTCCAATTACCTCCATTAGACTACTTTGATAATTTTTATGTGCCGACAACTTTTTATAATTGTGTCCTTTGTTGCTTTGTTTCTAGTCTCTGCTCGCTGCGCTCTATCAATTATAAAAGATACTGTGCAGCTGAGCATGAAATTAGCTGCGTGTGCTGTCGCCCTTTTAGTACAGTAGTCGCTCGCTAAGTAACCCTGACTTTAGACTGGCGTACACGGTCAACGCTATGGTAGTCACAGTCGATATCATTTTATTTCATTTCATTTCATGTTTATACATACATATTTATTCCACTACCTATATTAATTTATGCATTCTCTGTTGATTGCCTGCGTTACAGTTGACAAGTTTTCGACCCGTTCTGGGGTGGGTGGACTCCACTCCTCCGTTCAGTTGGCATTTTATAGGTAGAGGTAGAGCTTGTCGTCGTCAACTTTATGATAGTTAATGAGTTGTAATGGTTTCTTATTTCCATGTTCTCTTGTCTCTTGCTTCATGACATTACGGCATTGATTAATTTTCAGAACCAATAACTAGCTGACATTATGCAGCCTTTCTCGTTTTATAATATCTATACATACACAGGAATATCTCTAATTCATTTATCTTCATACCTCTGGCTGGCATTTATCTAATGTTTATTCTTTGTGTTTCTTCATTTTGCAGACGTCGCGGCAATTGCGCAACAAATAATATTTCTGTCTAAAGGTGAGTTCAACTTTCAAAGCCGTAAATAAAAATGGAAAAATAATTTGAAAATATATACATTTAATAATTAATTAAATACATTGTAGGCGTATCGAATGGCAAATATTCTTATGCAAGAGCTTGTGTCGGTCGGGGTCACTCAGGGGTTAATAGTTCATTGACTTGGCTCATGTTTGGCTATATGCGATATATCATGTCTAATGAAGATTTAATTAAACGCAAAGCTGTGCGAGCATTGTGAGAGTAGGTAGGCTTGCCTTTTAGATAGAGTGTTAAATATTTAAATATATTTGGCTATATAATCATCTTCTATTCCACTAGTGGAATAATGATTTGAATTTAATTTGTTGAATTTTGCATAATATTTGCGAGAATATATCACGATTCTCTTGATATATATTAAAATTATTTATCAACTTAAATTACAAGTTTTTTTGAACTTAAGAAATACAAAAATAAATTTAGAACAATATTTTGTTTTGTTAAATTGTTGTTGATATTTTATCAGATTTATTTTAATTATTTTTTCCATTCAGTAATTCCTTAAAAATATATAACATTCGTATAGAACCTATTAAACTACTTAATTTCTTGCCCAGTCTGAACAGTGTCTCTCCTACCATATCATATTCATTGTGGCACACAAAATTCCATTCAGATCTTATCTAACGCTAATCATATTGCCTGCTCCACTGACCCACTCAGTGACCAGCTCCGTCACACTTGATAGCGTGCATAGTGCACATGTAACAATCATAAATTCTTTCATAAATACCGACGCCTTAAGTATATGTATGTACAAAAAGATAAAAGCGAAAACTTTAATGATTTCAATACAAAACTTAACTGCATCTGGCTGGGGCACACAGACAGCGGAGTTATCAGCGCTTTGTGGCTGTGTATTGACTTAGTCAGGCGGGCAGCTGGCGACCCAGTTGCCAGCTGTTGGTGGCAACTGCTTAATCAGCGCATTTGAGAATGTAATAGAAAGGCGCCAGGCACGGTTCATTCAACTCATGCACAAATGCAGACAGAAGCTGCCTGCTTTGGCATGCAAAGAGTGTAATGCACTGCTCGATGATGAGTGCTTCCTGTATGATAAATACTTGCCAGCCAGTCCCGCACACACACACACACACACACATACTCCACTGCATACTCCCCCAATACATGTACCTATATATGTGTGTCAAGTTATTGTTTGCAACTTCATAGATACTTGCTGCCGCGAGATACTTTTCTATGGTATGCTGCTGCTGCTGTCATTGAGCTGGGCTTTTGTTTAGCTTAGCTGCACGCCCTTTCAAGGCAGCTGCGCATTGTGAGACTTTTGAGGAAAAACTTTTATACCCATATACATACAGTATATATAGGCTCTTCTAATTAAAAGTTTTATGCTGACAGCAGCTCGCTTACTGTGCCAGAGGCTTTGCGTACGACTGGCGGCTTATTATATTATATGTATTATATTTAGCGAATTTTCCACTTTGCGGCGCCTTATTGAACAAACCAATAAATACAAGTTGGAAAAACTCTGACTCCAAGTTGAGGCCAGGGCTAGGGCGAGGGCGAGGCTTAGGCGTAGGCGTTGGCTTGAGCGTGTGTGCAGGCATTTGACAACCCAGGAAAACACGTCCAGCACCACATGAGGTCTCCACTTCTCACGGATCCGCGCTCCTAAGTCGCTTGTCTGTTTTGTTTTCATATACTTTATTTATATTCTTTTTCGGTGTTCTTCTTTTCATATGTATATTATTTTCTCTTCGCCTTGGTTTTATGCGTTCTTTTATTATTTTACCCAATTCGCGCGCGCGCAACTTGTCAAGAATTTCAATGAGTTCGTTTCCCTTTCGGTAGTCGCTCGACTGGTGGTCGCCGGTCGGCGGTGGAGGTGGCTCAGTGGTTCGCTGGTGCGTTGGCCAAAGCAACGGGCAGCTGTATTAAAGTAGAACCTGTTGAATTATTGGTGTGATTCAACAAGAAGTAACAAAACGACAAAATCGAAATAGATAAACAATGGGCTGGAAATGAAGAAATATGTTGAGAAAATGTAAAATAGCTGGAAGCAGCTGCTGAACAGGCTGCTGCTCAGAGAGCCACCATTTATG